GTGTTTTTCTTTTTGCAAGTATCAGGTCCTTATTTTCAGATGTTTGCTTAACCATTGGTACTATTTGGTTAATAACCCTGAAGTTTGCTTAATGACCTTCTCAAAAAGGGTTGTAGGACCAGGCACAATCTTGCAATGACTCAGTTAATGACTGCCACAACTTATGACCATACTCCCGAGCTTAATTATGGTTGTAAATCACGGACTACCAGCAATTAACATTATAATGATCATTGTAATAGTATACATATATCAAATGTAGAATTCTATATGGAAGCTCAAAGGTGCAGATTAAGTATGTGAACAGCACAGAATTTCAACAAGTGTCATGAGATACAACAACATGTGAAGAGTGTGTCATAATGAAAATTGAGGACATATGTTTCCTGATCAAGAAATGAGCTGAGATGGGAGTGGGTGGGGGAAGGCACTGTAATGCTTGGAATAAAAAAAAATCTGGAAATAATTTACACAAAAAACATGAGTATGAATAGAGATACAGTGTCTTTTCTATTGGCCAAGTATCTTATCACACCCAGCTAGAGAAACAGATTCAGGCTGTTTTCCCAGCACAAATGCATGTACACTACATGACTTGCACAAATTTCATGCACCACATATGAACTCTATGCTATCCCAGATTCTTCACAATAGGATTCTTTATAGTCTTGGGCTTTCCATATCCAGGCTTTTTGGAAACTATTCTCATGGGCTTACATCATGGAAAAAGCCATGCTTAAATTAATTCTGACAAGACCAAAATAGTTTGTTGCATTCCATTACTTTGAGATGAAAATAATGATGTGCCCTCATGGCCTCTGAAGGCTTGTCAGTAACAGAGGAAAGTTGCAAAGGAAGTCTATATTTTTCCTTCCCTTTGTAGGAAGAGATAGAACCTAGCAGGACCACACAAATTGCCAGATGGAGCTCATCTTACTGACACTGAAGGGTCTTCGGAGCATTAGTCACTCCAAATGAGTCATTGTGTAAAGATGAAACATGAGTGTCAACAAAGCCCATTGTAGTTTTCAGAAATAATATTTTGTTCTAAATGAGAAAATGACCACAACCTCTGATCTATCTACTTCACGATTTTGATCCCTGCAAATGTAATCTTTGGGTTTGCTGACACTTTTTTATCCTGTCAGGGACTGCACAGTGGACAGAAAACCAACTTACATAAAGATGAGGAAACTAACATCTACCTGTTACATTTTTTTTCCTGTCTTGCTTCTGAAAAAAGACCTAGAAAACTGACAAGGGAAAAAGCATCAAACCCACGTTATACTATTAGAATTGATACTATTTATTTTTAGGTGAACGTAAGGCAGCACACATTTTTCATTATATTGCCTTAAGAGATGTTGGAATGTAACTAGTATTAAGTCTGAAATATAATTAATATAGACTGTCTCAAGTTTATATTTATTTGTGTTGAGTTGAGAAACTTTCATTACATAAACATACTTTTGGATAATAGCTATTTAATCCCCCCCTCAATAACCTACCTCTCAAACTCTGAAGCTCAAACACTTTTTGTCAGGTTTTTTATAAACTATGAGCCAAGCCAAGTATCACTTTAACAATAGCAATAACATTTAGACTAATAGTTCATAGTGCTTTACAGTCCTCTCTAAGCAGTTTACAGAGTCTGCATATTGCCCCTAATAATCTGGGTCCTCCTTTTACCTGCCTCGGACGGATGGAAAGCTGAGTCAACCTTGAGCTGGTCAGGATCGATCTCCTGGCAGTGGAACACAGAGTTAGCTTGCAATACTGCATTCTAACCACTGTGCCACCACAGCTCACTTCAGTCACATCGATAGCCTCTACCAAAAGAAATAATTTGGATTGTGATTGTGATGAACCATTGTGCTCCTATCTGAAGTAATATACTCATGCTAATAATGCTGCCTGAGGAGATTTTTGGTTGAGGCATAAGGTCTTGGCAAATGAACCATCCACACAACATCCTAAAACAAATTTATCTACTCGGTGTCCTCAAAATATTTCAGGGATATTAAACCACCATTTTTGACCACCAAGTTATGTGACCACACCACTGAAGAAACACTTTAATTAGTCTTCCATTAAAAATCTGCTTAAACTGCAGACAATTTCAGTCCATCCTTACCAATATTCATGTACTATACATGTGGATTGTAGTGTGATTTTAGAAGACAAACTGAAGAATGACTAGGTTTGTAACAGAAATTGCATCAAGGATAACTGCATAAAACCAGGTAGAACTCTGTTCTTCACATTTTACTTGTCTTCACTTAATAATGTATACTCTGTTGACTCATTTTTCTTCATTCACACAGCATGCTAAACTATTGTGGTTTGAATTCCACACAACAGACTAAGCTTCCACACAACAGGCTAAGCATGTGCTTGGTTAATGTGTGATGGCTTATATAAAATTTCTTGCTCCCATATAATTAAACAAAGACTCAATATGAGTCACTTGGTCAATCTCTGTATTATTGAAAAAGAAGGAATCCCTTTGAGATTCAGTGTGCAATAAATTCTTAAACTCTACTTTGAAAGGCATGATTTGGCACCAGAAAGAAACCAGAAAGCTCCCAGTATTTGAAAGAATGCATTAAGATATAAAAGTAATGTTTTAATTTATTTGGGGAAATGAAAGAAAGACAGTAACTGTCAATGAACTCTGAGGGAAACATGCACCCTGTTGAGATATAAAAATGTGACTGATAAGCTTTCAGTTCATGGAATTACTTTATTGGTAAAATCTTCTTCATTCCCCTTTTCTCTTTCCTTCATTCTAACCTCTTCTCTGCTGTCTGCCTCCCACTCACTCAGCTAAAGTTTGGCTGTTGTCTCCAGCACAGATCCTCTGGCAGCTGTTTCCTTTTTAAAAACAATCAGCTTGCACCTACCTACAGAGTGCTTTATTGCTTTTAATAGCAGCTGAAGTGCCTTAAAGTTTCTAGCTGCCAACCACATCTTCAAGACAGCAGCTGGACATGAGCTCCATTATAAGTCTTATGCAGCTGCATGACTCTGTGGTAGCACACACAGCATATTATGAATGCAGTGAATCTCATGTTTTGGAAGAACATTATAGGATCCTTTAGTGTGCTGTCCCAGCCAGTCTATGGGAGTTGGATAGTTACTTAGGAACTGTGAGCTGTCCCCTTAGGGGAATACATCATGGTAAATGTAGTTAAAGGTATCCTAGGAAATGTAGTTCATCTCATGTGGCTACATCTGTAATCCTGATTGGTCACTGAATTGACCCTTGGTGAGTTAAGGGAGTTTTCCTCATTCTTTGTCTGAACTCTCTACCTCATGGCATCTTCCTTCTATCGCTACGAGATGGGTTAGGAGATAACCATCTTTCACGTACAAGGCAGATATACAAAGGATTGGTCATTAAAGAAGAACTTTGTCACAAACGTGAGTTATGAAGATACCTGATGTACCAATAAATGAACTTTGTTATAGAACCTTTGTTGAGTTATCTATCTGCATCTGCACAGCTATAAATCTACCTCTGTGCAAGAGACAGAACATTTAGTATGTTAAATTCCATGTAACAGCATTCTCATATAAATGCTCTTTTCTACTAAGACTTGCATTTTCCACTTGTGGAGTTTATAACGAAGTTTCTACCCAAGAAATTGCAGTATGAAAAGGGAAACATGCCTTGGTAAATGTTGGCAATGGTAAAAAGCTGTTATGTTGCCATTTCTTTTCATACTTAAGCTATGGAATGTGAAATAATATGCTTGCCCTCATGCTTTCACACACATTTGCACAGTATTAGGGTAAGATTTTCTGCTCTGATTTGCATGACATCTACAGTATCTTAGAAAAGAAATTATCTTCTGGAAAGGGGGGAATACTTCAAGAAAGAAGGAAACTGCAGATTTATTACTTATTCTTTACCTTGATATTTTGGCATAAAACAACAAAAAACTTGTAATCACTAGACCAATTTGATCAAATGGTTAATGCACCGGCCTAGAAACCAGGAAACTGATTTCTAGTCTCACCTTAGGCATGAAATCCAGTTGGGTGATTTTGAGTCAATGCTCTTTCAGCTCAACCCACCTTATGAGGTTGCTGTTGTGAGGAAAATATGAAGGGGGAGGAGTATCAGGTACATCTGTGGCCTTGAATTATTTATAAAAGTAATAAAGGTTGGAAATAAAAAAAATCCCACCACTTGTTTTTTTAAAAAAATTAAGTGCTAACAAATAGTAAAGCAGCAACAAATCATCTCCATTTTGATTTATGAAGCAGTGCCAACCATTTCAGGGAAAAGCAAATGTGAATAATTGTAACCACCACCATAGTTCGGTGTTTTCAGTATCCCTTTCATCTAGCTGATACTTTTTACAGATCAAGTCATAAATTATTGTTTGGCATCATATATAAAAATGCTGATGGAACTCAGATTAGGAGCAAAATACAGCATTGCCTATGTTTGATGTTTGTTATTTCTACTTTTAAAAGACCTCAGGCCATAGAACTAGAAAGGCTTCTCCAGATATTCTTACAAAATTATTAGTTTCTCAAAGCAGGCCATACCAGGTCACAGTATATTCAAAAAGAGAGCTAAACATCACTGCATCATTTCTACACCCCACCCAAAATTGTAATTAGATTGCTTCAGCTTCCCTGCCTTATTACTTCTGGTATGCAATTCCACAAGGCGAAGATTAATGCAGAGACAAGTATTCATATAATCTCTTAAAATGCTCATTTATTTGATTTTATGTTTATCCTGACTTTGCACCAATAAATGACATTGAAGACAGCCATTGATTAAACACTGAGTCATGATTTCCTATTAGATTATAACCAGACTAAAGCAGCTTTCACCAGCATTAGTAATTTTGCATATGGCAAAAGAAAGACAGCTGAAATAAATCATTAGTTATTGTCAATGGAAAGGTTGAAATCATAAAAAAATAAAATAAACAAAACTCCTTACATACATGTACTTTCCTAAATTAAGGTAAATTTACCTTCCCAAACTTGATTTCAATGCAGTTTTCTTTAAATTTCTCCTGTAGAGTCTCTGCTAGCTGACAGAGCAAAGCACCATTATCCAATTTCTCCATGAAGGTTTCAGCTGTTATTTCTTTGCCTGAAAAAGATACAAAAGGAATACCAATCAACACCGGTTTTGTGGATTGTTCATTGTGTGGAAAAACATGATTTCCCTGTGGATTTTGTTTGTATCCAATTGTGATCGCTCCCTGCTGAAGAAATAAATCTCACATTATAAATCAAATACTCATTTATACTTAAAAAAAAAAAAGATGGCAGAACCTTTATTGGAGGAAAGCTATAGTCAATGAAATCAAAACATATTTTATTTCATGATTGCCAATCTGTATTTTCCCCACAGCAGTTAATGGTAACACTGAAGAGTGTTGTTCTAAAGCTTAAAACACATGTAGCCAATGTAGTAGCTTCACATACTCAGACATTTCTTATAAATGCAGATGATTGCAATGCCAGATTGGCTGAAAATATGTTTCCATAATCCAAATTTAGTGGTTTTCCTTTAGGACTTGGGGAGGATGACATTACACTGGAGCACCACTCAAAAGACATGATTTAATTTGATGAGAAGGTGCTGGAAGCAACAGCCAATGGATTGGATGTTATTTACATTAACAAGCTCAGGGATGAGGATGGTGGAAGTATTCGATACTTTTTGGAACAGAAAAAGAGTGTTTTGCTTATTCAGATAAATATTAATAAATATTATAGCTCTATTAATCTTCACAATTATAGTTTCCTACCCACTGGAATGTGGTTCCCTTTGAGATTTGGCTGTCTTCCATTCTGACAGCATTCAAAGTGCCTTGAAAAGACCTCCTGTTCTCCTAGAACTGGGCATGGGTAGATGAAGCCCCTTGCTGGATATTGGTTATATCTGTTCTTTGTGTTGCTGGCAGGATTTATCATCTTTTCTGTTTTAGTTTTATTCTTCTTTTACTTTTCTAATTTGTCTTCTGCTTTTATTTATTTGTATATAAAGTGAAATACCCAAACTCATCCTGGAATCAGACTACACCAAACTGAATGCTTATTGATTTATTATTCGGAAACTCTACCTAATAGTGCTAATAACACCACTTGAACACCTTCAGCATTGATAAAATTACCATCAGTAACTACAAAATGTAGGAAGGGTGCATAAAGAAGTGCAAAAAAGTAAATATGACATTTTTTTTTAAAAAAAGTGTATTTAACTTTTTATAAACAGCAATAGATGAATACATAACCAGTTTAAATAAATAAGGATAATAATGCATTTATAAGCATTTATAAATAAACACACAACAGCAAGCCAGTTGGAAGAGGACAATTGGCACAAAGAAATCTAGAAGATCTTTGTACTAAAAACAAAGAGGCAACTACCTCCACAACCTTTAGATTAACTCAACAAAATGGCCTGGAGACCAGATCCTGAGTAATGTATATCCCTGAATTGCACTGCCATTTAGCTTTTTATGGTAAAAAAAAGAATGTCAGACAAATATCCATCAGTGGTAAGTGGTATGTAATTCTATCCCTCATTCTTGTTTCCAATGACAAACTACATGAAAACAAATAGCTGCAAACAGTCACCTAAGGTTGCCTTATCCATGTATTGCATCTTGATCATTTTTGACTTTCCAAGAATCTTTTCTAAATATCTTCCTGCCAATATCTTGTTTATATCAAAATAGGGATACAGAAAAGCAGTGCTCACTGCGTTAAAGAATCTGTTCTGTATCAGACTGCCAGAAATGCTTTTGTAAAATAACAGGAATAATTAGAAGGTAGCTATTTTGTTTTGTTTTCATGGCCCTCTGTGTGCAGACATGAATTGTTATGAGGATACTTTATGATTTCTACAAATGCATTTATACCCTGCAAGCCAAATAACAATCTTAAACATAATTTGCCTGCAGAAAATGTATGAAGTGTTGCCACTCTCGTTTAACTACGGTTGAAACTCCCAGTGCAATTTGGAATGCTGCCTAAAAAGCCCAAATCAGATTTCACCAGCATGCAATAGAGATCTTCACAATTCATTTCTTCCGGCACACTTCCACTGCCATTTTAAGATAACCATGACTTAATGGCTAAAACTCTGCCTAATCTTAACAATGTCTATGTCAGTTTCTTAACTTGTAATTTAAACTGGCATGTTTCCAGAAAACATAATGATTAATTACAATTAGATCTGGTGCACACATTAGATTGTTATATAGCGTGGTAGTGTGGGTGTCAGCATGTTATACGGCATTGCATACAGAATATATCTCTATATAAAAGCGAAATACCGCTCACGCATCATCACAAAATCTCCAGACCTGTAAAGCCTACAAACCTGAAAATTGGCATGTGTGTTCCCCTTGGCTTCTAGATGCTCACTAAGAAAGGATTTTTTGAAATGACCATCACAGCATTAGTATTTTGTATATTATTATTAATATGCTCTGATGCTAAGGAGTTGTACTCCCCCTCCCCACCTGAAAAGAAATCTATTCCAAATGCAAAACACAAGCAGAGGACAGGAATTTCAGTTTTAGTTTCACAACGGCAACCAGCTGTACAGAACAGTTGAGCTAAGCCACACCCAGGCTCCTTGCTGTCTCCTTGCTCACACAGCAAATACTGCTTCAGTTTCCAAACAGCCATCAACTCTCTCACACACTGACAGGAGGCTAGCCAGATGAATACCGATGGATGCTGGTAGGCAGAGGCACAATTTTTCCCCTTATTTTCCTCCCCCAAAACTAAGCCCGATCACATAGTTTCATAGCGAAGCACGGAAGAGCTAGTTATATATAATATTCCTTCTAGTCACTGTTGACTACTGGCAATTGATGGATTAGTTCCTGCTGTTTTCGTGGCAAGATTTTCAGAAGTGATTTGCGTTGCCTCCTTTCTAGGGATGAGAAAGGGCGTTGGTACTTACCTGATACGCCTGTTCTCTGTGAGCTGTGAAGAGCATCCAGTGATGGGAAGGTGCTTCAGTCTCTTCTAGGAAGGCTGGGCTTAAACTTGAGGACACTCCTCCTCCTCCTTAGTGTCCCCAGTTTTGCGAAGCCGAGGTATTGATACCCTATATGCTTAAGCCTATGTAATAACCCTGGCCGGAACAGACCCCCTACCAGACGGAATAAAAGGGTGGGGCTGGATGCTCTTCACAGCTCACAAAGAATGGGTGTATCAGGTAAGTACCAATGCCCTTTCTCCCATGAGCTGTTCAGAACATCCAGTGATGGGACATACCAAAGCTTGGCACTGTCCTAAGGGAGGGATTCTGTCTGGGTTGGAGACCTAACTGTCTCTGAAATAACTTGCTGCAGAACTCGCCTACCAAATGAAGCCTCAGCAGAAGCAAATACGTCAATTTTATAATTTCTAATAAATGGAGATGGAGAAGCCCAGGTTGCAGCTCAGCAAATCTCCTCTATTGTAGCCTGGCACCGCGCAGAAAACTGCGAATGTGAGGGTGATGAGATATTAAGGTAAGATCATCCCAAGATATGACCGAAGCCAGGGCTGCCACCTGTCTCCACAGAGTATTGGGTGATAACCCTTTATTTAGGCCCGCCTGTAAAAATTCTAATAACTGCGCTACTGATGGGGAAGTGGGGTCGATCTGAACCCTCTGACACCAACGGCAGAAGCTAGACCAGGTGGCCTCATAGATTCAGTTCGTCGAAGGACGTGGAGCCGACTGAATAGTGTGAAAAACTTGAGTAGAAAGATGCTCATCTCTCAGACATCATCATTCAACTTCCATACAGCTAAGTTTAGCCATTGGGGGCCGGGTGTAGCACTGGGCCTTGAGACAGCGATATGACCGATGATGGGATCCTCCACGGTGGTACCATCGAGAGGTCCTTCAGGTCCTTCAGGTCTGCGAACCATGCTCGCCTTGGCCAATAAGGAGCCACTAATAGTAGGTCCACTTTTTCTTCCAGCAACTTCTGAATCAATTTGGGGATCACGGGGAGGGGAGGAAAGGCGTTTAGCAGTCTGGTGGGCCAGTGACATCTGAGGGTGTTTACATCCTCCACTTCCTGTGATGGGTAACGAGAAATGGACCGGGGAAGCTGTGCATTGAGTGGGGAGGCAAACAGGTCGACAACCGGTTGGCCCAACCTCCAAGTAGCCTCCAGAAAGATCTTGGGGTCCAGATGCCGCTCTGATTGGTCTAACATGGCTGCTTGTATGTACATCTGCTTGTACATTTGCTACTCCAGATATGTGCTCCACCATTAGAGAGAGAAGATGGATTTTGGCCCATAGGAATAGTCTTTCTGCTTCCCTCATTAGTTGATTGGAATGAATGCCCCCTTGTTTATTGATATGGGCCTTTGTAGTTATGTTGTCTGTTAAGATGAGCACGTGTTTGCAATGGAGATACAGGAGGAATTGTCGGAGTGCTAAGTACACTGCTCTCAGTTCTAGCCAGTTGATATTGTGTGCCTTCTCTGAATCCATCCAAAGGCCTTGTGCTGTATGTGATTGGAAGTGGGGCCCCCATCCCACTAGACTAGCATCTGTTGTAACAATATGTTGTTCATATTCTGCTGTGTAGATCCTTTTTTTAAAAAAAAAAACAAGTTTTATTCAGTTTTCCATATTTTAGCGTCTCTTGTTAGTGAACAGCATGATTACAGGTTTCACATATACATACAAATATGACCATGGTTACATTTTTATATCCAATTCCTTATCTTAACAATGCTTTTATACATTTTCTATTTTATTGTATTATTCCAAATATTTATCTCATTATTTAATTCACTTATGATAACTTCATAATCATTATACTTTAGTACTTATAACTGTCACATTTGTATATTTCATCTTAAATTCTAATTTAAAAAAAGATACTTCTTCTATAAATTGGTTTTCCCCCTGAAATCTCAATATAAGTGTGCCACCTCTAAGTTATTCCATTCATATTTAAACCAAAAAAGCCAACATTCCAATCTTAAAAATAATTCAGTATATCTAATATACTTATTCCATTATTTGTTACAATTATCTCTCTACATAAAGAGGAAGAGCATTAAATTCCATTATCCAAAAAATAACAATTCTGTTTTTCCATCTTGTCAGTCT